CACCACATCACCGTACACACAGACGCACGCGTGCACCACATCACCTGTACAACGACGGACACGCGTGCACCACATCACCGTACACACAGACGCACGCGTGCACCACATCACCGTACACAGACGCACGCGTGCACCACATCACCGTACACACAGACGCACGCGTGCACCACATCACCGTACAGACGCACGCGTGTACGCACTCAGGTACACACAGACGCACGGCGCTGCACCACATCACACCGTACACAGACGCAGCGGCGTGTGCACGGACACATACCGCTACACAAAGAACGCACGCGTGTCACGCAGCATCAACGCGTACCACACAGACGCACGCGTGCACCACATCACCGTACACACAGACGCACGCGTGCCACAGCACATCACCGGTACACAGACGCACGCGTCACACACTCACGCGTACAGCAGACGCACGCGTGCACCAACATCAACTCCGGTACACCACGACAGACGTATGCACGCGTGCACCCACATCACCGTAACACACAGAACCACGCGTGCACGTCACATCAACCGTACACAGACGCACGCCGTGCATTCACATCACCGTACCACAGACGCAGCGCGTGCACCAACATCACCGTACATAGACGCACGCGGTGCCGCACATTCAGCCGCACTACAGACGCACGCGTGCACCACATCACCGTACACAGACGCACGCGTGCACCACATCACCGTACACAGACGCACGCGTGCACCACATCACCGTACACACAGACCGCACGCGGTGCACCACATACGTACAACACAGACGCAGCTGCGTGCAGCCACCATCACCGTGACAACACAGAGCGGCACGCGTGCGCACCACAATCACCTGGTACACAGACGCACTGGCGTGCCACGCAGATCAACGTACACAGGAGACGCACGCGTGGCACTCACATTTAGCAGTACACAGACGCCCGCGTGCACCACATCACCGTACACCAGACGCCACGCGTGGCACCACATGCACCGTATCACACAGACGCGGCACGCGTGCACACACATCACCGTACACACAGACGCACGCGTGCACCACATCACCGTACATAGACGCACGCGTGCACCACATCACCGTACACAGACGCACGCGTGCACCACACATCATCCGTACACACAGAACGCACGCGTGCACGGGTAGCACATGGACCGAGTAACCAGACGCGCGCACGCGTGCACGCACATACCGTACACAGACAGCACGCGTGCACCACATCAAACCGTAACACAAGACGCACCGCGTGCACCACATCACCGTACACACAGACGCTCACGCGTGCCACCACATCACCGTACACACAGACGCACGCGTGCACCACATCACCGTACGCAGACGCACGCACGTTACGCCTATATACATTATAGCTACATGGCGACCATGAGGAATAAATCACCGAACTCTGAGCGTATCAACATCCTAAATCACCGAGTCTGTCCTGAATCTATCCCATCATCTAGTCATCGACGCTTGTCTCGCACTGATTAACATCCGGTTCCGGTTCCTGCAGAAAACAACGAGGCACCGGGATCTCTGCAGCAGCTGGGCGTCGACGTCTTTGTCGTCAGTGGCGCCACCTCACCGGCAAACAGATCCGGTCGCCAACTGCGCGCAGGTACGGCGCCGCCTACGACGTCAGCGTCGACACACGGTCGTCGGCCAGCCAGGATTCGTCCGACCAACAGCCGCTCGCAGCCGTCGACGTCGTCGACGTCACTTCTGGGGTCGGCGGACCCGTCGTCGTGACGACGCCCACGGCGAGGCGCCACTTCTGGCGCTCAGAGTCTGGCTGAAACGCCGGCTGCGTCGCGCGGCGCGTCGCCGAGCTGCGTGCGGCGACGAAAGACGCGGGAACCAACCGTCGCCGAGCCAACTTCCCGGGAGTGCCAGACAGCGGTGTGCCGTGATCCGGGAAACAACGTCCGGTCCGCTGTTGCGGCTCACTATCTGTGCAAACGTCGCGAATCTCTCTCTCTCTCTCTCTCTCCTCTCTCTCTCTCTCTCTCTCTCTCTCTCGTCTCTCTCTAGCCATGATGCAGCTCTCTCTCTCTCTTCTCTCTCTCGCGCAACACGGACTAGTCAATGTTAATATACCGCCATAACCTTTTTAATGTGTATTAGTTTGTGTGTGTGTGTGTGTGTGTGTGTGTGTGTGTGTGTGTGTGTGGTGTGTGCGCGCCGCGCGCGCGCGGTGCGTGCGTGCGTGCGTGCGTGCGTGCGTGCGTGCGTGCCGTGAGCGCGCGTGCGTGCGTGTATGCGCGCGCGCGTGTGTGTGTCCGCGCGCGTGTGTGTGTCCGCGCGCATGTGTGTACATAGGCTAATATAAAGTTTAACTCTATATAGTTTGAATCATCAAGAAGTGACTACATACTACCTGCACTAAAGGCTTTTTCTCATTCATCATGTTATATGTATAGCGTTTATATATGATATTTGCGTTTAATATTACGTATAGTTTATGATGATCATTATGATAGTAGACACGACCTAGCCTATATGAAAGTTGCGTAACTATATATGTTCACAGTTCATATATATTGTTATCATTCGTTTATTTAGATATACGTGCAGAACGTGCACAGTACCCCGGGACGTGCGCGTGATCGTTCGTTAGCCATAACACTGATGTATAGATATAATCAGGAGTGAATAAAAGTCGATGGGCGGTCATTATGGCGTGTCATGTGAATGATGGGCGGTCATTATGGCGTGTCATGTGAATGATGGGCGGTCATATGTGTGGAATAACCTTCAGCATTAGTATCTTTGCATAATATATACTGTATCATCCACTGGGCGCGTGATGAGTGGCTGATATTACCTTTGTCGCAAACAGTCAGTTGGTATTCATTCGATGGATTTCAGTAAATAAAATTATTACGTGTACATTAATTCTCTATTATTTCTATCATTTCTGTTCTATTATTTATCACGTCATGCGCGTGGGTGCCATATGAGCACATAGGGTACCATGCACATGATACACTCTGCCTGAAACAAATACACATGTAATATGTCATACACATGTAATACACATGTGTAATACATGTGTATACAGTGTACATATGTAATACACATGTAATATGTCAGAACCTATAGACCTCGACATTTCATGCGAGAATCATACGCGTGTGAAACAAAATAAATATATTGTGATTGATATTCCATGTACAAATGTCCACGTAAGTACGCACACAGAGAGAGAGAGAGAGAGAGAGAGAGAGAGAGAGAGAGAGAGAGAGAGAGCGCGAGAGAGAAAGAGAGCGAGAGATAGAGAGAGAGCGCGCGCGCGAAAGAGAGAGAGGGAGAGAGAGTAGAGAGAGAGAGAGACGAGAGAGAGAGAGAGAGAGAAGAGAGAGAAGAGAGAGAGAGAGAGAGAGAAGAGGGAGAGGGGGAGAGAGAGAGAGACGAGAGAAAAAAAGAGAGAGAGCGAAGAGAGAAAAGAGAGAGAGAGTGAGGAAGATATATATAGCTATATGATGAGTATAATATATATATATATATATATATAATATATAATATAAGAGAGAGAGAGAGAGAGAGAGAGAGAGAGAGAGAGAAAGAGAGAGAGCGAGAGAGAGAGAGAGAGAGAGAGAAGAGAGAATAGAAATAGCAGAGAGAGAGAGAGAGAGAGAAGATGAGAGAGAGACGAGGAGAGAGAAAGAGAGAGGGGGGGGGGGAGGTGGGGAGGAGAGGAACGCGAGAGAGAGAGACGAGAGAGAAAGAGAGAGAGAGAGAGTAGAGCGAGAGAGAGAGAGAACGAGAGAGAGAGAGAGAGAGAGAGAGAGAGAGAGGAGCGCGCGACGAGAGAGAAGAGAGAAAGAAAGAAAAGGAGATAGAGAGAGAGAGCGCGCGGAATGAAGAGAGAAAAAGCGAGAGAGAGAGAGAGAAGGAAGCAGAGAGAGAGAGAGTGAAAGAGACGAGAACGGAGAGAGAGAGAGAGAGAGGGAGAGAGAGACAAAGCGCGCGCGGCAGACA